ATCAGAAATACAACTTTTTCGTACTAAAATATTACATTAACTCGTCAATTTCCTGTCCTCTGATACAAATTAGAAACTTGTCAGGTTCTGGGCAGAGTGGCTATGATTTGGCACGATGATATACGGTTCTAGCGTCGAAACAGCGAACTAATTAATCAAGGAAGAAATGACAACACATGGAGGTAAATTCTATAGTTACTATATTATAGGAAAATCTAGTCTAATACAATCGGGCAAGTCGGCGAAGCTCAGACACGATTTACATGGGAATTCCCCGACACAGTATTTGGTACAAGATATCCTATCCTGACCTATCTTCCCAGTTATTTCATTGCTACGACACCCGTCTCTACGGAAAATAAGAACAATTTCTAACTATGTTCCCCGTAGTACATCACCGAGGTTTGTGGAGACGATAGCGTCCAAGGCGCATCTGACGGCAAACTTCTGTATGAGCCCTGTGAAGTGCCCGGCAGTGTTCTTCGATGACGACCGGCGAAAGTTCGTATTGCTATCATATAGCTGCTGACGGCCCGATCGTGGTAGTTCTCCTCTGTTGTTCGTAGGTCGGCTTCAAGATACTATCTCGGCAGCAATGGGTAGTTCTACTCTGAGTTCGTAGGTCGGCTTCAAGATATTATCTCGGCAGCAATTTAGGTAGTCGTAGCTCCTTTTATTCGATGATAACCAGTCGTGAAATCTCAGTGTAGTTCCACTATTTCGAACAGATCAGTTCCACTATTGCTTTGTCGGTGGTTTTCTTCTTCTCGGCGATATATAGCGCGGCCGGCTGATGTTGTCTGAAGAGACGTCGTGACTCGAAAAATAACGAACACCACAATTTGTCTCTAAAGCATTCACTGTTCCGTGAATACTAGTACGCGCTACAAACGACATGCGGATTGCAAGGACTTCCGCGCTCGACTGACTCCGCGCTCTACTGGCTCCGCGCTCGACTGACTCCACTTCAGCGGCTCTTCCTCATATAGCCCCGCTCAACCGTGTAGACCCGCCCTTGTTTGAAATCTCTGACGGTTTGCTTGAATCTTTAATACATATAGAGTTGCGATCCCTACTAATTCCTATACTAATCAGGGGCTGTGGGGGTGAGGGAGAGGCCTGGCGTCTAGCAGGAGCCCTTCGTTGTGGGGTGAATCATTGCTGCCTCCTCTTCTGCCGGCTTCCTCCATTCGCTTCCGTGATTTTATGTGAAGAAATCTTTAGTTGTCATTTGTGCAATGCTCTTTTTGTATAACACTCCAGCACGACTTGGGGCGATAGAACATGCAATCCTTCTAATTTTACACCCTCATGGATGCCCGCTTCCGTAGGTGCAGAATTTATAGCACAATCTGGAATGTGAAACTCTGCAGTCTTCGCCCTATTTCCCTTGTTCACATTTCTTTTGCATTTACTTCCAGCAAACACCTTTCCTTGCTGGTGGTCTGCTTGAGGGGACTTCTACAATTTTGCTGTATGGTAGGGGTGGTAGTTTTGGAAGGGTTGGAAGAGCTCGAAGAGATGATGGCAAACCATCTTCTAAGTCGCCATTCTTCAGGGTTAGTACGGCAGCCGAAGCGTAGGTAATCCTAGTGTTTGGGCCTAATTCAGAGGAAGGAATGTCGGTAGGATCAGATGTTGGGGCACTGGAAGTGCTGAGGGCAAAGATAAGGCTGGGAGTAGGTGTAGGGTTAGGTGTAAGGGAATAGGTGGGGAGGGGGTAGGGGAAGAAGCAAGGGTACTGTTAGCTGCAAGGGAAGAGGAGTTGGCACGGGGGGATGCGTGGCCAGCATCACCGGGCACGCAATCCACCGGTTTAGGTTTTTCTTTCAGGACTGCGATAAGTTTTTTTCGATTTCTTTGTAGTTTTTGCAAATATTCATTACATAGTTCTCACAATCATATGAAACTATGGTTTGATCGAGACAAACGAGGGCATAAGTCAGCATTTCGCTACATTCAAGATGAATGAATAACCGGCATTTGCTGCACGGCAGTACAAGTGTCGCATTACAAGGCTCCTTGCAAATTATACACGAGCTACCCTTAGGGGGTTGCACAACAACACATTTATCCACCTTACCTTGTTTTTCTTATTATAATATTACATTGAATATTTTACACAATTACACTGGATATCCTGCCTCACACTGAGCTCAGACATTGACCGCAAACCCTTGAGCTTGGAACGCTGGGCTCACAGACCGCTCTGTAGGCTCGGTAGGAAATCATAAATACCTTCGGGTATGAGCACAATTGCTGCTTCCCTCTCTTACTACAGCTCAACACTCTTATTTTTTTCAGTTATTTAATGTAAACAATTGACACGTAATGTGAACATTTCACTGCTTCACGTATTGAATGCTATAATTTCATTCTACTGATCTGCTATTTTTTCGTCCGGCCTTTTTTTATATATAAAAGAGTAATTTTCTGAAGGCTTTCACACTGAACAAATTATACTCTTATCTTTTCTTTTTACTGACTTCCCTTGGTTTCCACATCAAGGGGCTTGTCTCTTCCCCATTCTAAACAGCTTCTTCACCCACGACCTCTCGCCACCACAACACAACATAGGCTTCATAGCCTTAGCAGATGACAACACAAATAACTACAGGATTACTCACACAACCACGATGCAACTCAAACACAAAGCACTCTGTACAACAGATTAACATCTTCGAAAATAAATAGCTCATAAGGACAAACACAGTTAAGTTTAAAATCATATCCATCATTAGGCGAAATACTTCTGACATCATGGACAACACCCACTGTCAATACACGAGCATAGGAACAGTTTTAGGTATACCCTTCACTAAACACGGCTTCAGCTCCCATATAACGAAAAAAAAGCAATTGCCCTCAACAATCTACACAAAATACATTGATTTTACCACCTTCCACCTAACATAACACGCACTTTATAACTCTCCTTTGTCAGACCATCTCGAATTTACCCCCAGATGCCGTTACCCACCTAATCAAAATCATCCATATCCAAACTGCAGGCAGTACAAAACAAAGCTCTCCTATTTATCCTAAACACGCACTTGTCAAGAACGCAAAACTTGGTCCACCATCAAAACATATTAACATATGATCCTCAAGTCTTCAATTCCCTTACACGCGCTTTACACGCGCTAGGTCCCTCACCTCCGCCCCTGCACATTTAACTACATAGCGGACCTTCCCGCACCCGGACGGCAGTTGTTCCCATCGCATCTGGATGAAGCTAGCACGCTGACGGACTGACGCAACTCACAGAGAGTGACACACAGTAAAGACATACTCTCTAATAGAGAGTATTCAAAGACGTGCAACAAGAATAATTACAGGTCTAAAGGGCAAGTGAAGAAATATTAGAAATTGCGAAGCTTCCGAATCTCTGTTACCGACGTCTGCGTGATGACCTTATTGAAGTATGCAAGCATACTCATGGTTTAGACAAGGTCCCAGAAGGATTACTAGAACTTGAAACAAGAACCAACACCAGGGGTCACGGGTATAAACTAAAAATACTGCGTTTCAACTCATCCATGCAACATCACTTCATCTCGCTTCGAGTCACCGACATGTGGTACAGCCTCCCTGATGATATTGTTGACGCTCCGAGAAAAACACGTTCAAGAATAAAGTAGACAAAGCTATGCAAAAGCATATGTTCAGTCTTCAGTTGTCTAGTACCCTCCGGAACAAATAAAAGTCCAGTAACAACTTCATATCGCCGTCAGTTGAAGAGTTCTGGTCAAAAGGCTAGTTTTTGAACTGTGAACCGTCACGGAAAGTACAAGAATCGGCGATAAGCCTAACCAGGCTTATTATTCAACGCCGAAGATGGTATACTACTATTTTTCATAGAATTTTTAATTTTATATTGGAATTATTTGAAAATATTCCATTTCGTATTCCTAAAGATTATAACTTCTGTAATATTTGAGCAGTTCCTACAATTTTACAAAGTTCGAATTCATATATGAAATATTTCAAAATATTTTTTACAATATATCTCATGCAATTTTTTATTCATATTGTATATAAAATGCAAATTTCTAACGCTTCTGTGATGATCCAAGGTAAGAACTGTTTGTAATTCTGATTCTGGATCAAGTTAACAACCCTAACATTGAATAATTAAAAGCTCAAAATTGAAGAGGTTGGGATATGATGTGTAAACTAGAAAGTACTAATAAAATTGACAAAAAAATAACTAAATATACATATATGTGCAGGCTCGTGTTATAATCCATACTTACATTATGTAATTTCGATTTCCCAGTTCGAAGAATTCCTGTTTATTTGAAGACCAATGAGCATTTCTTAATAAGAATTTTCTTGGTGTTTTCGTCAGTTTGGTCTCTGAAACTTTTGATAGTATTTGAAAATGCAAATACTTCCATGGGATATTTTTTTATGATAGTACAACGTTTCGACATTATAATATTCATCATCAAGAAAATGGAGAGTTTTGTAACACGTAAAATAGAAATTTAAAGATGAAATATGTACAAACAAAGAGTATTCTGGTTACAATTCGAGAATCAATATTGGAAATTACTCGGAAAATAATTTCACGTCCTGAAAAAGCCAATGTTTGCAAGTTGGTAGCTGGAATCGCACTCTTAATAATGAGGGCCTCAGCCATCGCCAGTCTTGCAGCGTCGGGGCACCGCATGCCGATGCTGGTGCAGGCTTTCAATGCTGCGCTAGTGAAGGTGTCTTTGAGAGGTTGGTAAGACCACGATTAGGGATACCAACAACGAGCTCACCTTCCCGGTCATGTGGTGCCCCGGTCAAGATATAACCAAATTCAACCATTAACTTATTAGCAAAACTGCATTTGTGATCTTTACAAATCTATGTACATGTTCAGATCTTAATCCATTATTTATTTTCGTTTCAGATTTTAAATTAGGAAGTCTGATCCTATATTTAGGATCGGACTTTCTAATATTTAGTATATGTTCTCGTCAAGGTTTAATAAATACGTGTTTCAACAGGTCTGTTGTGCGGCAGTTTCGAAGTGTTTTTCCTCGTCCTTTTCCTTGTGCCTCTCTGGCACCACAAGCACATTACCTGAGAACGTTGATCTAGTCGGACGCCTGCTGCGTCTTGTGGCGCTGGGGCTCCTCGTGCTGGCGCTGGGAGTCCTCGCGCTGGCGCCGATTCCGTGTGACTTTGTCCTGGGCTGCCGACAGGTTTGTGATATTGTCCATTCTCATTAGAAACTTATCGAATGAACAGATTATGGCGATGTCTGGTACGAAAGAGCTTCGAGGTCACGTTACATACTGAATAAGTTTGTTGGTGATGAGCAAAAAATATGACAGAAGAGAGGATATGAACAGTTAAAAACAAATATGCTCATAATTAAAACGCCATACGAAAAATGTCCGTCTTTAGTCGACGACGATACACCTGCAATGAAGGACGCTGAACAGGCGTGTAGACCAGTTTAAACATAGAATAAAGGGGTAGTACAAATTTATGTTAAAAAATCTTAACTATATCGCAGTGCTTATTCTGTCAGTGATGGCTTTATAACATTTTTGATATTTGCAGTATAAAATCAACGCTGGGAGATAATTGTTCGATAGTCACGTAAAAGAACTAACCGATTCTTGACGCATGAAGTATTATTTCGTTCCTCCAGGAAAATGTAGATATATGAATCAATTCTCCAAAACTCTCCTACATGAGTTGTATTGACCAGGTGGTAACTAAATCAGTTTCATGTATAAAATTAGGATCATGATTAAACAAAATAAATTTAGACCATATTAAAGAAAATAAATTTAGTTCATAGTTCAGTTGACCAGCAATTGTATCAGCATAACAGAAGATCAGCGCCTTGGAGGGGAGTTCGTGTTTCTTCACTGCACGAGTATCCCAGTTATACATAAGAGAGATATTCAATTTCACGGTTAATTTTTACAGCGTTGATAAAATAAAACATTTAAGCGAGACTCAGTACAATTGATGTTAGACTTGACTTAGTTTAAAGTTTAAAATTATACCTGACTTTTCAGACCATCGTTTGGCAGCTGGAAGTGCTGGCAGTGCTGCTAGTGTGGGTTCACATTGTGGCAACTCTGAACAAGATTCCTCGGTTCTCGGGACTTATTCCAATTGATACCATGCTATTATTTCGCTTCACGCTGCTTCTTCTGCCTCTTCTCCTCCTTTTGCTTGCATTTGCCGTGTCTTTTCATTTTATCTTTTATGATAACACGACTTTTGGTTGGCCTTACTCTTTTGTTAAGACCATCACGCTGATGCTTGGCGATTTTGCTTACGATCAGACTTTCTCTTACGATAACACCAAAAGATCGTACCCAATCCTGTCAAACCTGTTGTTAGTTGTCTTCATTGTCTGCATCATAGGAATCGTACTGAATTGTGTCTCTGGAGGCGTCACAGAGAAGATCGATGAACTAAGGAAAAAGGAGCAAGTAAACCGAGCGAAAGCGCTTCTTCGCACCCTGTTGCTAATCGATGAATGCATCCCGAACAAATTGCGCAGAAAATATGCTTGTTCACATAAAATTCGCGAGATGAACTGGCGATCGTCTTATGTTAGTTCCGAAATGTTCCATGAGCAGAAAAGGGAAACTTCAACACAGGGTCTGGAGCTGACGAAGATAGTTCATCAGCTGTCAAAATTGGAGGAAGATATTAAAGAAATCAAGTCCTCTATAAATGAGATCCGAACGGCAACAAGAGCAAACCCCTGAAGAGGAACTCCAAATGATGAAGTAGCGAAAAAGATGAAAGAGTTGAAGAAGGCATCCAATTTCTACTATATCCACTCATCGGCAAAACGCATTTTGACAGACGACATGCTTAGCTGAACGAGTACCAGGAAATTAGAAGCAATTTTTTTCCTTATTTCTACATCTTTAAAAAGATGGTTGTCCTCAGATTTGTAATGTTTATCGACGTTAATTTGGCGTGAATGCAAAGCCAGTTGTGATTCACGCGTTTTTAGGGTCATAGGTTGACGCCGCTAGCTTTACGGGCTAATAAGCGAGTAAAAGTGGCCAGAATGTTAAGCCAATTGAGAAATTTAGCTGTAGTTCAGGAGCTAAATTACAACTCCTAAAAGCCCTGCCATAACTTTATTTATGTAAAGATCGTAATCAAAATATATTTTGAAATTGATTCAAGTACACAATTCTTATACAGTTAATCGAAATAATTATTGAAATAAATAAAATAAATTAATAAGGTGATGATTTTCAGTCTATAATACGTCATTTTAGAATAAAGAAGTCAATGCATACTTTATTTATAATCAAAAGAGATTAATGTTATACAAAATATGGCAAGGCGACTACAAGATTCCTGAATGGTATACAAGAATTAAAACTCATGCAGGAGACGCCGAATCAATATTAATTATCAAGCAAGCAATGACCAATGTTTTTAATAAATATCTTACAATGACGAAGTGAGTAAACGGTGTTGTTGCCGAAAAATGTGTGAGTGTTCAAGTGTCTTAATTTGTAATAAAAATTATCGATTTAAACAAAATCAATGAAAAATAAAAACTAGCCGACACAAAGTTGGTCTAACTTGCGCGCCCTATTGATTGATTTCAGCAGCCCTTGGAAATGATTTCTGTGTTGTTTTGTCGCTGCTCTTCAAGATCATAGAACCTACTGCACGGTCTGTGAACAAGTGTCTGATCTGTTTTCTAGTGGTTGAGTTTCTTATATCTTTCTGCAATTTTACAGGCATTTCTTTAATCGGAATTTTAGCGTAACCTTTCTATTTCTTATCAAGCTTGCAGGACATTTCTTTGAGTTGATGAAGTTTTTTGATGAGTTTATAAAGTTTGTTATTAAGTTTATAAAGTTTGTTGATGAAGTTTGTTTATTAGTTGATAACGTTGGTTAAAAGTTGATAAAAGTTAAAGTTGATAAAGTCATTGTGATCAAATTTGAAACTCGATCCTACATGCCATACTTTATATCCTAAATCAAATCACAGTATTTTACAAACAAGAACCACAAGTTTTCACGGTCAGAGTTATTATCAGTGATAAATTTGAACAATTGCAAAAAAATCGAAACTATCCGTTTGCATTGAATATTTTTCACTTGATCCTATTATTTTTTTTTTTGTCTACTTCATCTCATGTCATAGTTTGCTTCTATGATTTAATTTTTTAACAAATAACTGTTTGAGTAGCAACCATGATTAACGTGTTGAATTGCATTCAGAAGACTGATACAGGTTAATAATTTGTAGAGTCATGACAACGTGTTCAGTATGTTTCTTGCACACGCTGAAATATTTTGTACACGCGCGGATTTGATTTCTGCGTCGCATGTAATGCGAAAGTATAAAAGTAAATTGATTTATATTGCTCTGATTTTCTTTGAACTTTCGTTCAGTTATAGAGGTAAAATTTATTATATTCGTAGAGTAGGGTGTAAAAAAGCTAATATCCAGCAACAAATAATATCAATTCAGTATCGATTACTATCGATTCGACATCGGTGATTTCACCGCAGATCGGTGATTTGACGCAATCGAAGATTTGACGCAGATCAATGATGATTCGACTTCGATTAATGCAGATTCGGCTTTAGCTACTGTAGAATCGGCATCGTTCGATGCAGATCATTCGACTCAACAAATCATCGGGTGCAGAAACGCTCGGTAAATATAGCCTGTAGGTATGACGGCATGGCTTCCAGTTGATGGCCAATAAGCTTAGATTTATTTTATTTCGTATTTTGTTATTCGCAGAAAAAATTTTTTTATCTAGTTTGCCCAAGACTTTTTTATTTGATATGACTGAAATATTAAATACGAGTGGTGCCATTGTAGTAAGCCAAATTAGGAATTTTCGCTTTTTAAATAAATTATATATTTTTCTACTACATTGAAATCATCATGTATGGAGTACAGGTTGTGTTTTCTTATATCGTAGTCATTCTTACTTATTTTCTTTCAGTAATTATTTCCAGTACAGTGTGATTCACGGAATCAATTCCTGATTTGAAAGCTCTAAAAATATAAAATTTTGTTGAAAAAGACATTACGTGAATTTTTTCTATCATTTTGTTTTAAAGATTACAAGAGACAAATGACAGCCCCATTGTCAAGGCATTCAGTCAATTTTTGAAGTTCCGTTCGACTCACTGAAGCATATTAGCGGGTGCGTTAGAAATGGCTTGGCGTATGTTGTTCATCAATGAGGTAGGTTCCTTAAACAGTAATTGTAAACAATGATTTAAAGATAACCCCATAAAAAATCGCACGGAGCCAAAGCGGGTGATCAGGCCGGTCAAATAAGGTTTTCTCTCAAGGGGATGTGGCGCTCTGCAATATGTCTGAGATGAAGACAACTCTGCAAAACGGCCATTATAAAAGTACGCTTCGAAAGCAAACGCAAGCTGCTTACTAGTCCAACGCATAATTGACTAGTAAGCTAGGCGATGCACAAAACTTCATAACCTTGCCTTTCATATGCAATACTTTTCGTGCTTTTCCTACAACATTTAGCTACTTGACTAGAAATACAAAACAGGAAGTTTCCGAGAATCATCCTGTATAACAGTCATAAATTTTCAAATTTGAAAACGGTAATTGAGGAAATAAATTTTTTCACATTATACTCACGTTCAGAACACAACATGGTACTTCCACTTCTAGTGACGGTAATGACTGTCGATTGCATCACTTCGTGTCCAGACTCGATCAGCTCTTAGAAATTGTTAAGAAAATTGGGCTACTTTTCAAATTTTCATCCTGACACTCAGACTGTGATCAGTATGTTTACATTTAGTCACAGTTTATTCATCTACAGGTGTTTAACTGCTTAAGAAAGCATTTAAATAAGTTATGGCTACTACATGAATGTTTTTTATAGTGCTGAGCATTAAAAATTGTGGTGAGCCCTGAATGGAGTTGGAGTGCTGAATCATCTCCTTAAGCTGATGAAATCCCTTCAGGATGACCAATAGATTTCAGCACATGTTGAATAGACTAGCTAAACTGCGATAAAAGGCTGCATCTTATCTTTTCTGTACAGTCTGTATGCTGATGTGATCAGGAGGAAATTAAATCATGAAGAAACTCAGGCCTGTATTCAAACTCTAGACAATACTGTGGACTTGTCAGAAAAGATCATTCTTGGGAAAAAGAGCTCATGCCTGGCATAAGCAGTGGAAATAGACGCCAGGTC